GCTTTTTACAGATTTAAAAGTAATTCCTAACCAATGACAGTATTTTTGATTGCGTTTATACTAATTTGTTTACCAAGAGCTGTTTATTAAACGTTATGTTTAAAAACTATCATTTAGTCTCAAGGGAAAGAGCTGTAATTTGGCAACGCTGAATGCAGTATCTTCCTCCATATCTTGTGTGCCTAAATAAATATACTGTACACACGCACGCACACACACACAGCTTTATAGATATATATACACACACACAAACTCCAGAGGACTACTCTCAGACAGGGAGAATGGAAACCAATAGTGAGGTCAACAGATATACAACAGGAGTACGAACGGAGACAATGTGATAAATAATAATAATAATCCTTGCATTTGATACAGCGCCTTATCATGTCTTTGAGACGTCTCAAAGCGCTTCACAGAATATACTGTAAAGTGAATTGACTGTGTATTTTGTGGGCGAAACGCGGCAGCCGTTTGCGCACAGCAGCGTCTCACAAACAGCCGTGGATTGAGTAAGCACATTTTTTGGGCGAGGATTATTACGCTCGGAAAGCAATTCGCCAATCGACTAACAACTGGGTTCCTACTTACTGCTGAGTAAACAAAGGCGTGTGTGGAGTAAGGAAACTTGCCTAAGGTTTTCACAATGGACATTGGATTCAAGCCAAACAATGTAAGGTTCCAGCATTTGTTTAGTAGCTTCCTTTTCACTCCTCCTCCAGCTGGTAGGGAGTTGTCATTGTCAACTCCTTAAACGTGGCAGTGATTGCTCGTGTAACAAGACAGTCTATCGATCTCAATACACGTTGAAACCCACCACCTAGTGGCCCAGTTTAGAATGGAAAGGTTTTTCATACATTATTAGTTGTTGGTTGGGATTCACAGTTAAGAATGTAAAGTTTGCTAATTTAACACCTACAAAATATTAATTCATGCAGAAAAAAAAAGAGAAATTCTTTGTACTTACGTGAAAGCCGTGTTGACTGATCCTGGGCAAAAAACTGTGACCAGTACGGAGGTAATGGGGGAACTGCATAATTCAGGAAAAGGATTTGGAATAGCTGGCACTGGCAATGTGTCTCTCTCCACCTTAACATTCCTACATTGATCAAAAATAATGTTTTTATTTTCTTTCAACTAAAAAATCATTTTAGTCAGATGCTGTGATCCTATGAGAACTTGAAACAAACAACATTTTCTGCTTCCGCCATTTCCTAAGGGACAAATGAGATAGATTTCTGCAAGAAAATAATATCTGGGGAGACAGTATACAGTTTGGGACTCAACATGTCAAACAATTGCCAGGACGGTAGAAGGCGAACTCGATGGCAAATTATTATGTTCTTATAATAATCTTTGCATTTGATACAGCGCCTTATCATGTCTTCGAGACATCTCAAAGCACTTCACAAGATACACTGTAAAGTGAATTGACTGTGTGTTTTGTGGGCGAAATGCGGCAGCCAATTGCGCACAGCTAATGAACTGTTATTGCCTCAAAATACCTAACCATTAAAACTATCAGGCAGGATTTTTAAAAAATTTGTCAATGAAAAAACGTTCATATTTTATTTAAAATGATGGTTTCAAATGTCGTTGTCATGTAAATAAATATGAAACCCAGCGCACACATACCTATTCTCCTGGAGTTGAGTCGTCTGTGGCTGGTGAAGATTCGCTAGTGATGAGGTTGAAGAAATCAAACCTGGATTGGACAAGCAGTTGACATTATCCTTGCCATTTTTTTTNAAGAGAGCCGTGTTTTCCCCCAGCCTCTCACTGCTTTGAAAGTCATTGAGTGAAGTATTCATATCGTTCGTTCGTTCATTGGGTGTCTGAGCTGAATCCAGGGCATCATCTAACCAGAAAGAACACACAGACCCATTCACTCGCCTCGCCAACAGCTAATGCAACAGTTAACTGTTTCTTCAACTGTACCGTACCTTGTTGATAATGTACTATAGACTACATACACTCTGCAAATAGCCGAAAATCACAACTTCACCTGCTAGCGAGCACTGCATTCACGGAAGAAACAATTCACATTAATATCATCGACAGCAACAAGCTACTTTTAAATTCCGTCAGAAAGTAAACAGCCGGGCAAATCGTCACAGCAACCTAGTGAACGGTTTTCTCCCTGTACAGTCTGAAACCCGGTGCTCTCCTTCAAGCCTGAAACGCATCCTTTTCTAACAGCATCTGGAATCTTTATCAAACCAAACATGAATGCAAAAAGAGTTCCTAGATGTACGTGGTTCACAGCTTAACGCTGGCCTGAGATCTGGCCACCTTCCAGATTGTAACCAAACTGTGAACTCTCGGCTATGGACTTTGCTATCTCCGATCCCACCCCCATTGCACTGGAGAAATCGGTTTAATATTGACATGGGCTATTATACTTTCCTGTGTGCGCTGTAACTTGTGGTTAGAGCACTCGCCTCGCAAGCGAAAGGACCCAGGTAACTTGACCTGGAATTTCTTTAGAATAAAGGCTCTGAATGCTGAGGTCCTGCCAGTCCAAACACCATCAAACTCCAAGGCCAATCTTGCTGTGGTCAAATGAAGTATTTACTAGCCACCCTGCCTGCTATTTTTCTGTCTTTTCAAACGGAATCTATGTTCAATTCCGCTCTTTCCCATTATGCAGGATGTCAAGTGTGACTTTGACTAGGACTGTCTTGGTGCTGTGGGTGGGGCAGGAGCCACATTGGAATTTGTTGAAGGGAGTAAGAACATAGTGATGGTGGACACGGTCTTATTCTGGATAAATGTATTAATCTGTACAACTCGTATAATCCCCTAAATCGTACATCTTTCCGAGTCCCATTGAATCTCCCTTTATTTATAAGTTTGACATAACTCGTACCTTGCAAAAGTCATATTAAATGTAAGGTCCCAACTGATACAACTTATGTGAAGTTCACTGTATTATAGATCATACTCCCTGTTCTGATCACCTATTTTTGTGGGGACATTTTTAGCAACAGAAAGTAATTGGGGAACCTTTAATGTTACAGAGAGCAAAATGAATCCTGCAATGGTGCATTTAAAATGTTGATGCTTGCAGGAAATATGCATTGCATAATATCACCTGGCAGCAAGATTCATTAACAGATCACACAAGGGCACAGAAGACACACAATGTAAAAACTTATGATGTACTGTATGTTAACACATAACTCAGAAATGTCAGTCTTATTATAGATATTATAGAACTGAAATAATGTGGATCTTTTTATTTATGCTTGACTATCACCTAACACACAGAAACAGAGATTGCAGTGAAGTCCTGGAGCTCAGTGGTTAGACCACTCACCTCACAAGCGAGAGGACCTGGGTTCGATTCCCAAGCAGGGCGAAACATTGGGAAGGTTTCCTTACTCCACACACCTATGTTCACCTAGCAGTAAGTAGGAACTCAGTTGTTAGTCACTTGTCTGAGGGAAATAATCCTTTCAAAAATTTAAATAAATAGTTTTTTAAAAATTGGTCACTCAATTCAAGAGTGTTTGTGGGGACGGACGCTGCTGTGTGCAATTGGCTGCCGCGTTTGCCCACAAAATAGACAGTCAACGCACTTTACAGTATATTCTGCGAAGCGCTTTGAGACGTCTCAAAAATGTGATGAGGCACTATATCAAATGCCAGGACTATTATTATTTATTAAAGTAGCTTTAAAGATAGATGTGTCGAAAAAGTAAAAAATGTGTACTTTCTAAAACAACTTCTTACCTCTTCGTCTTCAGGATTCTTTGATTTGCAATGTTTCCTCTTGACACACCTAAGGATAAGGCCATGAACCAACAGGATAAAAGGGACAAAACTTGCACACACACACACACACACAATGGGACACTGTTTAAACTCTCAAGCCCAAAAATCATATGATCTTTCCAAACTCCCAACGCTGCAATAAAAGCCTCGCCCACAGATTGTAATAGACTTAGTTTTTAAATGATTGAAAATAGAATTATAGTACATATTTTATTTACACAGGAAAATGTTCAGAATGAAATAGGATTCGAAGCCTCAATCAGATACAGATAGAGTGTGAGATGGGGTTACTGTAGGGTAGTTTCCCCAAGCGCTGGAGTTGGGTTGTGGATTAAAAAGCTGTTGTATTGTGTGAACAACATGTTTCTGTGTTGGTTTTTGTTTTCCTCTTCCCACTCACGTGGAATAAAATAGTTCAACAGCTGATGTAAACATTTCTCTTCAAACAATTCCTGAGGAAATAACTTTTATTTTTTTTAAAAAAAGGTGAAACTTTTAATGTGTAGAACAACATAGGGACAAACATCGCAGAGTGCTCCTGTGAAAATACAAAAAAAGGCTTGTGGTGTGAAGTCCTGCGGTTTGTCCTGATGTGCTCAGGTAAATATACCTTACAAACAATCTGTACAACTCAACGACTGACAAAATCTTCACAAAAAAGTTTAAATAAGGAGCTTAACGACAACAACAAATCACATTTACACAACGCCGTTCCTGTCGGGAGGACATCCCAAGGCGCTGGACAGTCAGGGATTTGGACACGAGCTGGGGGTTGGGATCAGGGTTGGGTGGAGGGCAGTGAGTAGGAGGGTGACCGATGGTGCGGTCGAAGAGGAGGCTCTTGAGACGAGTCTTGAAGGAGGCCAGGGAGGGAGCGAGGCAGAGGGACTGTGGGATGGAGTATCCAAAGGCTGGGGGCAGAGAGACTGAAGGCCCAACTACCGATGGTGGGGTGGGCCGGGTGTGGGAACGTGGGTAAGGAGTTTAAGGGATGCAGTATTGTGGTTATAGACTAACAATTCCTTGGTTGATACTGAAACAGTCTACGGTCAATTTGCTTGATTGGTGAGATGATTAATTTGGTTTCTTCCACAGCTAACATTTCAGATTGCTGAAAACAAATTTAAGCAAAGCTTTAGGATTGACAGATTCAGGATTGGGGATAGGGAACGGATTTTAAAATCAGATTTGGAAGGCTTTTTTTTAAATACAGACGATAGACGAACTTTAATAATTAAAACATTTAATATTGCAATGTTTTATACAGTTCATTCTTAAATGCATTGCTAGATCAGTAAATGTACATGTCAATCCAGGTACAAATTTTAGGCAGGAAGTGATATACAGGTGTATTTGACAGTGTTTTTACTTTAACATAAATATTCAACATTTTCTTCCATAAGTATTGTTCAGTATTACAGAACCAGCCGACACAAACCATTTTTATACATCATCTCTTCCCCCCTCCGCTCAAAAAAATAGCTTTCGATTTGCTATTCATACACATTGAATGCCTGGTTTCATACAGTAATCATTACATATATGGTTTACAATGATTTGGTTCCCCTTTCACAATAAGAATCGAAACAAAAAAAAGCATTTAGCTAAACGTTACAGATGTCTGTATAAAGCAAATCATCAAAACATGTATTTCATAATCAAAATAATCTCTGAAGTTTTCAAGGCAGACCACATGAATACATTTTAATCTGTTGCAGGTATTCCTGCTTATAACACTTGATAGGACAGATAACATTGCAACAGCGTAGAAACAAAATAAATTTTCTCTACCAAAAAATTGATACACCTTTCTGGTTCATTACACAACTAACTACCTATTGATTTGGCTTTAAGTTTGCTTGTAAAGTGCAAGCCAAGTGAGTCCCATAAGTGCTTCTACTCTGATGAAGAGAGGGAGCGATTTGGAATGGATTTTCCATTTATAGATACATTTTCGGACGCATCCTGGTTCTGAAATTAAACACGGAAAATACAACATTATTGACTCTCCACCGGGAAATCAAAACACAAACAAAATACTGAAGTGAGAGTGGAATAACTGATCCATCTCTAAATGACAATGGGATAAATTTCATAGTCGCTGTTAAATTTAGTTTTGTTAAATCAGTATTTCTATTCAACGACAACAATAAATGACATTTACACAGAGCCTTGTCAGGAGGACGTCCCAAGGCGCAGGACAGTCAGGTATTTGGACCCGAGCTGTGGGGTTGAGATCAGGAGGGGGGTGGACAGCAGGGACGGTAGGGGGTAGGAGGGTGACCGAAGGCACGATCGAAGAGGAGGGTCTTGAGTCTTGCCTTGAAGGAGACGAGGGAGGGAGCGAAGCAATGTACAATTTATACAGCAACGTTACAAGAGTGTATCGACCTTTTTAAGTTTGGCAGCTCCTTCCCCCGAACGAATAGCATCGAGCACAGCTTGGTGAATCGCTCCAGGGTCACTGATTTGCGTGATTAAGATGGGTTTCTTTGCCGTAGGGGGAGGAACCCGGGGTTTAACGGGCCAGGTTCGAGGCTGTGATCCTTTATTGTACCAATCATTCTTTGGTTTGATTTCAGACGACACAACCTGTGAAACAAAATGACCAAAGTTTCATCCCAATTCAGAGTACAATTCTATTTATTATGAAAACGTATATTCTCCAACTGCAACGTTTAGCTGACCCCAGGATTATTCAAATCCTGATTCTCAAAAAGGTTACTGAATAATCTTCCACTGCGACATAGTGTGTTGTATGTTTCGCCCACAAAATATAGTCACTCCACTTTACAATGTATGCTGTGAAGCGCTTCGAGACATTTCGAAGACGTGATGAGGGGCCATATCAAATGCAAGGATTATTATTAATATTATAATTAAGGATCCCTCTGAACACTGTGGATAAGACACTGCTGAACGTTTTGGTAACTGTACCAGAAAGGATAATTAAAAATGTAAGTGGTTGCCAGGAAAGATGGTTAAGGCCAGTGCACTGCTTATTTAAAAATAAACTGCTGAATGGTGTAATGGGAAGATTTGGGCATTTGGGAAGGATAAAATCAAATGGACCGAAGGGACCTGAGCTGGGGGTTGGGATCAGGAAGATCCAACCAATTCAAGCTCATAAATGATAAAACAGGAACCATGAAGAATGCAGGTTTACACCAGGTTTACAAGAAGTGCTCCACCTGCATTAAGAGCTAAATCACTGTTTAAACTGATCTCTCACTGGGGAGGGAGTCATCCGACTCAGCTCCTGTTATCCCTGCAGCCAAAGTCCTAACGGGTCAAGTGGTCTTAGCTGGACAAGCAGCGGGAAAGCTTGCAATATCAATGGCAAGCTGTGTGGTTTTAGCTGTTCAGACTCCAGCAGTTACCCGCACTCTGGCCTTGTAAAGTGCAAGCTTTCCACATTTTCCGCATGTGTTTCCGGATTTGTCAGACATCTGGATGACATCCACCCCCCCAAAAAAAATATAAGCCTTGATTGCCATTCCATTTACCTGTTTTACTGTGTTGCTGTGATAAGTGTCTTCTTTAGGGGTTGAAGGAGGGACATTGATTCCTTTGGGTGTGGCAGTTACAGAGGATGGGGGTAAGGGAACAGTTTTGGCACACTGGGCTTTAACGAGAGGTGTTTGTGTCTTCCTGACAGCCGATGAGACAGCAAGAGCAAAAGGTGATGGTGAGGTAGAATTGTACTTTTTTGCAACCATAGTAGTTCTGAGAGCCTGCGAGCTCTTTGATTTTAAACACATGGATTCCCGGCTTTGCTTCTCTGATGGTCTTACTTTCCCCGTGTGAGAAACATCAGCAGGTTTGTGGCAGTCTTTCTGGGCGGTGTCTTGAGAAGCGAATTCTGGTGGAGGAGGAATAATAATGTCCACATTGTCACCATCTGGTGAACTCACTTCTCTCAGTGGCATTCCATTGTCTTCCTTTATTAAATCCTGGGTTTCCTCCTCGAAGCTCGACTGGCAAGACAGAGAAGAGGTTCTAGCAATTGCAGACGTCACATACTGTCCAGACTTCCTCTTCTGTAGATGAAGGAACATAGACCCAGGATTCATTTTGTTACCCGGAGTAACTCTGTCGCTCTTGTTCACCATCACCGTAGACGGTACAGATGGATGGTCAACAACAGACTCAGGATTGCTGGGGTTTGGGGGATGGCATTGAGTTGTGGGAGAGATGGGAAGCTGTGTTACTGTGGCTTCTATGTTAGCTGTTTGCTGACTAACAACTGGTTCGTTTTGGGTGTTTGATTGGTCTTGTGGTTGGTGTAAACCAGCTGGTGAATGTAGCTGTTTCGCTGGCTCCTGTGCAATGTATTGAGAAGAGCTTGAGGTTTGCTCCAATGTTTCTGTTCCCTTTCCTAATGATTTTGAAGGCACAATTTTATAAGTGGTCATTCCGATCTTTGGTGTATATTCCCTTGTGATTTCATTAGAAGGCTTGGGCTTGGGCTCAGATTCACACTTGTACACCAACGGAGCCTTCGAGGAACTCGATGGACTTCTGACGGTATCACTGGGCAACGATGGTACATTGCAATCAATGCGGGATCCAGTTAATGATTCTGTCGCTGTGGTGTTGACATCAGTCGGTACCTGTTCTTTGCCAGTTAATCCCTGACTGATATGTTGGGTTGGCTTTGTGTCAGCAAGTTTACCATTCTGATCTTCAGAAGATATTATTGCCAGAGTTGATTTGTTGACTTCTACGTCGTGCCCGCTTGTACTTAAAGTATTTAAAGTGGATTTCTCAGTGCCCTGTGTCAAAGTCTCTTTATTATGCAAACTCCTGTCGGGTGATGCAATAATGCTTTCATTCAGCGTCTCAGTATGTTGAATACTCAATGTGTTATTAACATCTTCAGTCTGTATCCGACTCACATCATTCAGTTTTCTCGGTGGTTTTGGATGACCTTTATCTTTTACAGGAGATGGCTGGAGATTAACAGAATGCTCTGGCACCAGGTGTGTGTTTGTATCTGTAGACCTTTCTACTGCTCCAACAGCTTTTCCTTTATCCACTGAAGTTCCCAAGGTGTCGCTAGGAGACATTTCCTTAGACTTCTCCTGAATTGTCTGATGACTAGCATCCCCTGAAATTGGTGTGTTTTGAACTGAAATGTTATCCAAAAAGAAAAAAATTGTGTTAGTTTATTTAGAAGTCAAACGCTCGGAGGTAAAAGTACCAGTTTCAAACATCCACAAGGGTTTCTCCCTGTGTTCTGGCCAGCGTTCTATTTCATTCATTGCTCATATGCTACACTTTACAGTATATCCTGCAAAGTGCTCTGAGACGTAAATGAATAAAGGCAAGACAATGGATGTTAACTAAACTCAGAACAATATTTCCAGGTGTGACAAGAGGTCACACATCAGGAATTGCAAAGGCAATTTTTAGGACAGATTGCATCCTGTTTTGTGCCCATCTCCACATCTCAAATCAAGGTAAAGGACGTGAGTGATGAGAGACAATACTTTCTAATTTCAGGTTCACAGCGATAGCTCTAAACACATGCAATATGTGTATTACCAGCTGTAACTCCAATTTCCATCAGTCTTTAACAGCCCATAAGTCTATTTTATACTGCACTGGTGCAAATTTACCGCTTCACGTGTGAAACGGGCAATTTTGTGTGAATTCAGACCAAACAAGATGTACCCATACTCTCTAAGATTTCATGCGGCTTTCATTCAGTACTTACCAATATCTGGTTTTGCCTGATCTTTGACTTCCTTTGCAATCATTAAGTTCTCATCCCGTGCTCTGAAAATTGGGACATCTTCAGCTGGGCTGAAGCTCCTTACGCTGTTGAAATAAATAGAACCATACAATAGCCACAAGCGATATGTCTGGCCTATTAGTACAAGCGCGGTGTGCAACAGAATGCATTCAGAATTCCAAAGCAAAATATTAAGGTTGTCCCTGTCCTGTGAAGGTATCCCGACCGTAACACACAAGGTGCTGTGTGCCCAGTCGATTGCACGGTGCTATTATAATCTAATATGTTTTGCCCACAAAATACACAGTCAATTCACTTGACAGTAAATTCTGTGAAGCGCTTTGAGATGTCTCGAAGGCGTGATCAGACTCTATATCAAATGCAAGGATTATTGTTATTACAGTACAGTACTTACTTGCCCTCTGATTTCACATCAGTTTGTTCATCTGTTGCATTAAGGGGACTGGGCACGTCAGTCCTCTCAGTGTGTATATTGGTCTGTGCAATGGTTGAAATATCCACAGAGACATTGGGGCTCACAGTGTCTTGTTGAAGCTGAACATCATCAATATCTATTGCTCTGGTTTCTTCTTTCTCGGCAATCTCGTCAAGGCTATGTTCAGATCCAATGCCAACTGCATCCAAGAGAAAAGAGCTGAGTCTCCGTATTAATGAATAAGACACAATACGTCATCAATTTCTAAAACATTTTGAATAGTAAATGGTTGATCAATTAAACACGCACCTTACCCATATGTATTCTGATGGGCTGTTTTTTTTTGTTAATCGAAGAAAGCTTTACTTCTTAACCAGTTATAAAATATTTCATAACCGACCTTATTTTTTTTAAAACAGATTTTCAGCACAAGATTAATATGTTGTCGTCAATCTTATAACTTTGCTTTTTTGATGCTGAGAGAAACCTGTCACAATTGAAAGATAACTTTCAGGGAAGGCTCACACAAGCTAACAGTTCATGGGGATGTGAGGGGGTGGTGAAGAAGCAATAGGGGGAAATAATAATAGTAATAATCTTTGTATTTGATACAGCACCGTATCACATCGTCAAGAGTCTCAAAGCACTTCACAGAATATATTGTAAAGTGAATTGTCTGTGTATTTTGTGGGTGAAATGTGGCAGCCAATTGCACACAGCAGAATCCCACAAACAATTATTATTAAACCACATGTATATCATTCATCATAAGCAATCGACAAATTCATGTTTCAATATCTAACTTAATGCAATTTTAAGAAACATAATTCCACAACTATGCATCATTAAGAGGACAAAAGGTTGATGACACCAGAAAGCTTTACAACACGAAGTAAGTTTTAAATAAGGTAACTTAACAAGTAATCACTATTAGCAGTTAAGTTATTCATGCGTTCGCACATTTTATGCTCAGTTGTGGTGCTCACCCGTTTGCCAGGAGTTCCTAACAACAACAACAACCACAAATGACATGTGTACAGCGCCTTTCACGTCGGGAGGACATCCCTAGGTTTATTTGCTAATCCAGATGCTAGTTGTGAGCCTTGAGCACTTGGCCAGACAGGTATTTGTCAAGTACAAGAACATGTTGCTAATATCTGTTGATTGATTGTTCAATCACAGATCGATTTCTGCTAAAAAAATAAATAATATCTGGGGATACAGTATATAGTTTGGGACACAACATGTCAAGCGACTGCCAGGATGGCGGAAGGCGAACTAGATGGACCTTGGTCTTCTTACGCCAGCAAATTCTTATGTTCTCATCACGTTCCTGTGGTTAAAACAAGTGAACTAAGTGCTGGATTCAGCACATTTTATATTTCCATCAGAAGACATTGAATATTAATTAGAAACAAAGATCTGAATAATTTTCACAGACCCTAAAAATTATTTAAACGCTTCTTTAATTCAATGGCGGAGTGTAAAAGCACAAGTGGGAAAATGAGGATGAGATTCAAGATATCAACACAATGCATTTTGCAGTTCCTGACTTCAAAACAAACTATAGAAGTTGTTAACTCTGATAGATTACTTCGGAAACACATAAGAAAACAGCTATTTAAGACACAGAAAAAGACTCACACACAAAAATAAAATCACAGTAAGTAGACAAGTTTAGATAACACAAAAATGGATTTGGTGGCACATCAAACACAGGAGAGAAGTTGAAATTCATTAAAGTTGAAGAAAATACAGAGGAGACAGCAGAGGCTTGGAACAGGAGGGGAAGGTGGCACATTTCACATCTTTGGCAGTTATAGCTATATCCAGTCCCTTCGTTCTTGCAGTAGAACTAGACTGTCTGATCTGTAGGTTAGAATGAGAGTGATCAGTTGATTGGCACTGAGAAATAATCAGGTTGGAATACCTGAATTGGAGAGACACAAAACATTAAAGGTACTTTAACAAGACTGTGGTCAGTCATTGATACATTTCTCTTTCTACAAAGTTATATTTCAAACATTTACAGGCAGCTAGTTACACAACATAACCTTTTCCAACTCAAGTATTTCTACGCAAGCAACCCTCAGGTCATGGGTTTGAAACTGCTCATTGGTATCTCCCTTCAGATAAATCCTGGTGAATGTTTTTTAAAAGAACCAAAATAACAGCGAGGGATACACTTAAGATTCGTTGTTGTTTTTGTACTGGTGAGTAAATTGCTACTGCTGAAAGCTGCATGCGTTTGGAGAATAAGGTCAACATCAAGTTGGATGGAACCCACTGAAGCTTTCAAACTGTGGCTCAGCGCTAAACACATGCTAAAAAGGTGAGTTGAAAGAATAGCCAGTGAGGTTACGGTTCCTCTGTTTCGTCCCTCCCCCCTTCAACATAAAGCGACAATGTTAAACTAAAACAAAACGAATTATTAATTAGCGGAGGAGGAAGTGGGAGGATATTATCATCTCCTGACCTCATCTCCAACTGCACGCCATTTCATGGGTTACAATGGAGTCCTGTAGCTCAGTGGTTAGAGCACTCGCCTCGCAAGCGAGAGGACCTGGGTTCGATTCCTGAGCGTGGCTAAAGGTTGGGCAAGTTTCCTTACTCCACACCTCCCCTGTTTACCCAGCAGTAAGTAGGAACCTATTTGTTAGACAATTGGCGGATTGCTTTTCCAGAGGTAATAATCCCTTAAAACAAATTTGGTCACTCAATCCATGATTGTTTGTGGGAAAACTGCCGTGCGTAATTGGCTGCCGCATTTCGTCCATAAAATATCTAGTCACTACTGTATTCCGTGAAGCGCTTTGAGATGTCGCGAAGATGTGAAGGCAAAGAACAAACTGTGCCAGGACTTGTCCTCAGGAGATTAAGAGTTGGCTGCACTCGATGCAGATGTTGTTAACGGATGGAATTCCTGCTGATCACAATTACATCATCTGAAGAGAGAGAGAAGCTGCTACGGTTTGGTTCTTGGGACAATAGAGAGAAGCTTCCAGCATAGAAACCAATCTATTGGGGTTGCCTTTTGATACTATGATCGTGAATTATCCTTGAGCTAAACATTTTAATTTGTGATTACCTGTTGTTTATGCAGATATGTTAGGCATTCATCTCCGTACCTCAGAGCAAGAGCCTAATTGGCAATTTTAAATCAACAACAACTTGCATTTACACAGTGCCCTTCACGTGGGGTAGTGTCCTGGAGCGCTTGACAGTGGCGGAGTCTGACCCCAAGCCGGGGGGCGGTTGGGGTGGGGGTGTCAGGAAGCACGATCAAAAAGGAAGGTCTTCAGGCGGGATAAATCCTCTGCTAATCCAGCGAGTTACTTGGCCAACCAGCAACACGTTCAGAATCCAACACTGAGCGGATTAGGAGATAACATTTTTCTTATGTGAAGTAATATTGAACTGCAATGACTTGTAGTTTGTTGCAATAAAAACATGAAGCCAAATCACGATAGTAAATCAGAGTTGCAGCCCGTCGGATTGTTATAAACTGGAAACAGCCTCTTCTCTTCACATGATCAATTCTAAACGTTTCCTACAAACCCACCCGCCCAAATGGAAACAGCAGCAGCAAACAGCGCATTTTTGACTCGTTAGATTGTGTGTCATCAAGAACGGGAATTGATTGAATTGAAAACTTTCTAGGATGATGTTTAACTAACCCTCTTGGTATGAAACCGTCACCAATACACAACGACGACAACAACTTACACGAACAAAATGCCTTTCACGTCGGAAGGACGTCCCAAGGCACAGGACAGTCAGGGATTTGGACCCGAGCTGAACAAGGGGTTGGGATCAGGAGGGATGGAGGGCAAAGAAGCAGTGCAACAGAATGCAAGACGGATGTTAAAAAGCAGAGGATAATATATTAGTAACACTGGCGAAGACTACAATTAGTTTGAAGTACAAAAACATCATTGAGGGGGAAATGAGATGTAAATACAGTATAATTTACATTGCAAAATAAATGTACCTACTGTTCATAAACTGAATAGAAATTGATTTCTTCATGTTAAATATTAAGAAAATATACTTCACCTCCATCGAAACAAATTTCTGAATACAAATGTACATTTAACAGAAATGATCTAAAACGATTATTTAAACAATCATTCTTAATGGATAATAAAGACTAACTTCCAAATTTGGAATTTTTAGTTTGATCACTGTTTTGGGTAAGAACAGAAATGTTCTGAGCAATCTGACCATTACCTGACGGAGAGGACACTTGGCTGGAAGGACTTTCTGAAACATTGGGACTTGGGCAGGAAACAACAGCTCCTTGGACTGATTCTAATCAAATCAAATAAAAAACAATCCAACTTAAATAAGAACATGGTTAGAACATCACAGTCCATTTTCCTATTAGCTCCACTGAAATCTACATGTGACAGCGAAATTGTTCCGTATAAAAATAGTTTACAGGAAAATGATTCTTGCGCAGATTATAGCTGGAAATACAAAGCAAATACTTAATTGTATTTGTATTGAGGACATTTCCCACCTCTTCTCGCTCGCACTTGTTTCTATCAGCACACAATCTCAAGTAGAATGAACCGGATATACAAGTCTTTAAGAAAAATAGATACTTTGGCGAGGGTATCGAGATCAAACAGAAAAAAAATCAACATTTCATTACCTTCTGGATCTGGGCTTTTCTGGTCGGTCACTTTACAGGGAGGAAGAGGGGCCTTGCGCTTGGTCCTTTTGAGAGATGAGGAGCTCGATAGGGTTTCATCCCGCAAGGACTTTGCCCTTTGTCTGGTTAAACTAGTCGTGTCCTGACGCAACACAAAATGGTATGGATTAGAATGGATCAGATTTTACACATTAATCTGGAGAGGAAAGTTACAACACAGGTACCTTGAATCACTTTAAGGTTGGAGCATTTTGAAGCATTTACAAAATACACAGTCACTCCACGTTACAGTGTATCCTGTGAAGCGCTTTGAGACGTCTCAAAGACGCGATCAGGTGCTGCGTCCAATGCAAAGATTATTATTATTATTTCATAAACTTTTTTGAATTATAATTGTGTTATGGTTTTCGAGTCATGCTACATTCTCCATATATATCATAATAATAACAATGATCCTCGCATTTGATACAGCGCCTTATCACGTCTTCGAGACGTCTCAAAGCACTTCACAGGATATACTGTAAAGTGAATTGACTGTATATTTTGCGGATGAATATTATAAATGGAACACTATAGTGTCCAACACTTAGTTGCACCTCAGTTATACACTTACACTTACATCATCATTGCCAGGACTCTACTTTCTTAGAATTCATAAGAACTCATACATTTCTGACAGTTCAGGTTTAACCCGCAAGAAACAGATGAATACCTGTAGTCATGGAAACACTGAAAAAACATTCAGCTCATACACTATATAATTCCTCGTAAACCTTGACCCTGCACGATTTCAGGGTCAACTTTATAAGTTATCCGTTAACCCAGAAAACACAGGCAGTTTGAACACCAAACCAGTAGGTGACCTCAGTATCTAAATCTAAGATCTCTTTAACCAAACAAGATAAAACTTAAAGAGTTTCTGAATACATGATAATAAATGGTCACTCAACCCACGACTGTTTGTGGGACCCTGCTGTGCGCAATTGGCTGCCGCATTTTGCCCACAAAATACAGTCAATCCTTGCGTTTGCTGTCGCGCCTTATCATGTCGTTGAAACTTCTCAAAGCGCTTCACACAATAAACTGTAAAGTGAATTGACTGTATAGTTTGCGGGCGAAACGCGGCAGCCAATTGCACACAGCAGCGTCCCACAAACAGTCATGGATTCGGTGACCAAATTCTATTATTTTTTGCGGGGGGATTATTAATCGCCAATCGACTAACAACCGGGTTCCTACTGACTGCTGGTAAACAGAGGCGTGTGTGTGGAGAAGGAAACTTGCCTAATGTTTTGCACTGACCGGGAATCAAACCCAGGTCCTCTCGCTTGCGAGGCGAGTGCTCGAACCACTGAGCTACAGGACTCCACGAGTAATAGAACTACAGGAGTATATGGTGCACTGACAATTCTAGCTGTTTGGATTCAAAGCAGCAACAAGCAGCTGCCGCTGAGTTAGCAGGACAGCCTGGTACAACAGCTGCACCATGTACATTTGGAAAGTAGATCACAAATCAGCAGCATTTTATTTATGAATTGGCCAACAGCTGTGGGAAGTTCTCTGTTCGATAGCGTCCTCCTGTGGTGGAGACTTCCAATGCAGCTGAGAATTTTTACAACAACAACAAAATTTCACGCCTGGAGGACGTCCCGAGGCGCTGGACAGACAGAGTTACGGAGGGGTTTTAACTTCGCATTCTCAATTTTACAATAATGGTTATAGTGATCCGCGCATTCGACTCAGCGGCTTATCACGTGTCGTCGAGACGTCTCAAAGCGCTTCCCAGAATATACGGCAAAATGCAGTGTCTGTGTGTTCTGAGAACGAAACGCGGCGGCCGATTGCGCACAGCGTAATTCAGTCAGGATCACTGGAAAGTGTGGCTGTTTTACTGACCTGTTCCTCGCAGGTCTGCAGAACGTAGGATAATGGCCTGGTTAACGTTTGCTGACTCAGATCCTTTGGGACACTCTGTGACGTGGAGAGAGGTGGGGGAGGAGCCCGGCGTTTCTTGGGTATGGTCGATGGTAAAGTATTGGACTCGTATGTTGGGCAGTGAGCGCTGGGAGCTGCAGTGCCAAGCTGTCTCTGTTGGTTTATTGGTGGGGTGGCGGGAGCACTTGGTGCCTAGAATAAGAGAGAGAGTAAAAAAAGAAAGTTTGATTTCAGAATCCAATCGCTTGACAACAACAACAACAACAACTAGCATTTACACAGCGCCCCCTCACGCAGGGTTAGTGCCCCAGAGTGTTTGACAGTGGTGGAGCACCACACCGAGCTGGGGGAGGAGAGAGGTCACCGTAGTCACAGCCGAAGAGGAAGGTCTTCAGGCGTGACCTGAAGATGAGGAAGGAAGGGGCCGAGGCGGAGGGAGGGACAGAGGGAGAGCGTTCCAGCATTTCGAGGGCAAGCCAATCGTTCGCCACAAAAGCAGGTACACACATACACAATCAAACAACTTGCAAAGTAGATGTTTTGCTTAATTTAAAAATAATTAAAATGCTCGATGATCCATTCAGAAAAAAAATAGGAGGTTCCTTCCTAACTGCTGACACAAGGGAAACCCTGACTCAGCGACACTGAAAACAATCTACCAGAATCAGTTTTTTATTTGTTCGAATAATAACTTTGATACACTTTTTTTAATATACTTACAAACCAGACAGTAAAGAAAACTAAACAACCCCATAGTGATGGGATCACAGAGCTTTAGAGACTGCGAGAACAATCTTTTCTTTGATACAATCAACATTTATTTTTATAGGACAGCACCACTCCTACGCCTATTATTATTATTATTATTATTATTATTATTATTATTATTATACATAGTACAATATTAAATGCAAGGATTATTACTATTACTACTATTCACCCCAACGAATCATGGAATTTCTGTAACAATCTACTTTGAGAAACACAAATGTAACCGCAGTAAAGTCCTCCATAAAAAAAAGCTTACTTTTTCACGCTTCTTTTTACTAAGTCTGAAAAAGTTGAGAAAACCTTTGTTTTCCTTCTCCCTCTGAAGCGAATTCATACTGTCAGTGAGCTGGTGTTGTCCTGTAACACAGAATACATTTGTGGAAGGTGAGCAAACACGGTGACAAGAAATCACACATTTCTAAACAATGCTCAGTTTAGAAAAGATTATTAACAAACAACACAATGAATTGTTGCCGAGAGTAGTTAGTAATAATAATAATAATAATAATCCTTGCATTTGATATAGCGCTTTTCACGTTGGGAGGACGTCCCAAAGCGCTTCACAGAACACACTGTAAAGTGAATTGACTGTATATTTGTGGGCGAACGCGGCAGCCAATTGCGCACAGCAATGTCCCACAAACAGTCGTAGATTGTAAATGACCAATTTATTATTGTTTTTGGTTTTGGAGGGAATATTATTAGGCTCTGTGTGGAGTAAGGAAACTTTTTGCAAAATGTGATCGGCATGAGACTTGACAACGATAATAACTTGCATTTATATGGCGTCCTTCACACAGGATAATGTCCCAGAGCGGCTTAGAACAGTTGCCTTAAAAAAAAGTGAGCAACTCTGACACTTCTGTTGAGATCTTGCGATCGTTCATCCCAGTGACTCATGCTAAAACAGGCAAGCCACACCATACCTCTCTGGTATAATTATAGTGCACTGGTACAGGAAGCACAAGCATGGGAGTCACAATGCTAATGCCTTGGGGAGAAGGAAGGGGGAAATAAAGAGCAAACTAGGAGAAAGGGAATACATTTTTTGTGCAAGAACAAAGAATGTTGACAGTGTATGGAGCGAAACAGTTGACGCCTTTTTCTTTCTAGAGCTGGGTTCAGTCTCCTTTAGACACAAATATTTTGTCAAGGGCCATTTTTTGAACATAATAATAATAATAATCCTTGCATTTGATATAGCGCCTCATTACGTCTTTGAGACTTCGCAAAGCGCTTCACAGAACATACCGTGAAGTGTAATGACTGTGTATTTTGTGGGTGAAATGCAGCAGCCAATTCAGTCATGGATTGAGTGACCAAATTATTACTTATTGTTGAAGGAATTATTATCCCAGGAAGAGTGATCCACCAATTGACGAACAACCAGATTCCTACTGACTGCTGGGAAACCGAGGCGTGTGGAGTAGGGAAACTTGCCCAACGTTTCGCCCCCTGCCCGGGAATTGAACCCAGGCCCTCTCACTTGCGAGGCGAGTGCTCTAACCCCTGAGCTACAGGACTCCACGAGTAATAGAACTAAGCAATAGAACTCAAAAAGCTGAAGCATTAGCAATATGGTAACCTGTGAAATTCCAGAGATAATTGGCATTACCTTGCTGAACAGACACACCTTGAGAATACGCCTGGGAGGATCCTATAAAGTGAAAACCACAATTACAGCAACTTTAAGATTGCAAACACTCTGTAAACGATTATTATAAATTATCCATTCAATACATATATATATATATATTAATCAGAATTCAACAACATCCTGAATGCCAGCTTATTAAGTCATTCCACACACAACGCAGCACATAAAATTGGGAATACCATTAAAAGCCGTAAAATGTGAAATGATTATAATGGCTTCCTCACGGAGGGTGTCACCCACACCAGGAAATAGTTTACAAGTCATGGGAGATTTCCTGCCTGCTACTTAGTCTTATTAAATGGTCTGAATATCAAGGGAGAATGTAAGTTACAGTAATAGGGCCTGTCAGCGCGCTAAAGAAAAATAATAAAATAAAAATAATCCTTACATTTGATACAGTGCCTTATAATGTCACCAAGACATCGTAAAGTGCTTCACAGGATATACTGTAAAATGAATCAACTGTATTTTGTTTTGTGGGTGAAACCCGGCAGGCAGTTTGCTCACAGTAATGGGAGTGAATGACCAATTTTGGGAGGATTGCTGGCCAGGACACTCGGAGAAACTCAATCCACGGCTGTTTGTGGGACGCTGCTGTGTGCAACTGGCTGTCACGTTTCGCCCACAAAATACAGTCAATTCACTTGACAGTATATTCTGTGAAGCGCTTTGAGACATCTCAAAGACATGATAAATATATTAAATACAAGGATTATTATTATTATTAAGTCACAGTAGTTCTGCCCGCCTACAGAAAGCAGTCCTTTCTATGGGCACAAAATTTGTTCAAGATCACAAACGTTAACACAAAATGTCTTTCTTCTGGCAGTTTTACGGTTGCCTTGGGTTACTACGTGCTCTTAAATCTTAGCGACACGTGAACTGCTGCTAAATATTCTTGTGAGTTCAATTAAAAGACTTAACACTGGAGACCTTTCAAGCTAACCCATTGCTCCCACCCCCCACCCCGATCTCTCTGTGGAAAAGAAAGCACCTACTAATTCTCAAAGGTTAATCTCTAGCCTGTCTGCTTCATTCGAAGCTGAACAAGAAATATTCAACTCATGTCTAGCGGGAGTGACAATTCAGCTTCAATTTCTTACAGAGAATAGAAAGATGAAGAATATTCAAAATATTTCTCCACCACACGCACACACCTCCACACACAACCACACACACACACTTTTAAACCACTGTAGGTTTTAGATAGTTCTGCTAGATATAATAATAATCCTTGCATTTGATACAGCGCCTTATCACATCTTCGAGATGTCTCAACTGTAAAGCGAATTAACTGTGTATTTTGTGGGCAAAACCCGCTATGATAACACTGACGAGGTACATACCTATGCCGGTATCCATTGCATAAACTTCTCGTAAACCAAGTTCGTTCAGAGATTTTGTTAAGTCCAAAGGATCTTGACACTCAAAGCTTTTGACCAGAAGTGTGGTCTTTGTATCAAATTCACATTTGCTGCCAATCACTGGAACCAGTTCTTGAAGGGGAACATTGGGACTAACTCGTACTATGGTTTTCTGTGTTTTCTTGTAGTTTACCACCACACGTACAGTTTGCTGAAAAGTAAAAGGAAAGTTACATGAATGATGATGATAATAATAATCGTAGCATTTGATACAGCGCCTCATCACGTGTTTGAGACGTCTCAAAGCGCTTCACAGGATACACTGTAAAGTGAATTGACCTTGATTCTAGACAAGGGATAGAGCATTCAGACAGATGCTCAAACCTGCTTTGCAATGAACGGCAAATTGAACTATTAGTATGTATTAACTCAGTTAAGCATCTCAACTCACTCACACACGCACAGACACACACACACACAGTACACCCGTGCAGACACACGTACATACATAGACCCACTCACACATACACACCTCAGGCACGACTGCAATAGGCCTTTTCTTCTCTTCCAGTTGTTTCTGTTTCAGAATAACCGTCTCCACCTCCAGTGTCCCAACCAGTGTGTTGGGTTTGAACCGGATCAGTCGCTTTTCTCTTCCCAGCAGGTCCATGGTGTGGCTGGACGGATTCAGGTGATATTTGCCACACAGATAAACTAACAAATCCATCACGGGTTTGCTAGAAAAACAAAATAGGTTTCTTTGAGATACCAGACAAATCCACAAAGGGAGATGACAATTAACTCAATGACGTTGATGTTGCAATATCACCATATCAATTCCCACCATGTTTACAAAGGTCTCATGACTGATTTAGAGGAGCATTATAATAATAATAATAATCCTTGAGTTTGATACAGCACCTCATCGCGTCATTGAGACGTCTCAAAGCGCTTCACACAATATACCGTAGAGTGTAGTGACTGTATATTTTTGTGGGTGAAACACGGTAGCTGATTGTGCACAGCAGTGTCCCGTAAATAGTCATTCTGGGGTCATTGGGGGAAAGTAAACAAGAAAGCAACACCCAGCTTCCTCTAAGTTGTTCTTTATTTAAACAAACTATTAAACATAAGAGTGGCAGCTGCAAGGAGATGGCTCTTTGCTCAAATCATTTCCTCTTTTTACTCCAGCACCTGCCAAGCAGTGGGCACCACTCTGCTCAGAAACCCACCCACCCCCAGAGGAGAGAGACCCACAACTGAGTCACAGAGGAAACAAAACCCTTGTGCTGTGTGGCCTCGTTTGGTAACAGTTGGTTAATGTTAGTAGGTCGATGTGTACATACGCTCAGCATCCAGTTAAACACGATGCCTATCAGGAGCCTCAGGCAGACCAAACATTTCAGAAAGTAACCGTATTTTCATAAAACCAGACACCAGATTAACACTGGGATCCTGAGTTGAGGTGTTGGCATATTTTCTCTCCCTTCCCCAATCTCCCACAGCTGCGGGACGAAACCTAAGGCAAGTTTCCTTACTCCACACACCTCTGTTTATCAGCAGTAAATAGGAACCCGGTTGTTAGTCGACGGGCGGATCGCTTTTGTGGGGGTAATAACCCCTTCAAAATAAATAAATAGTAATAATTTGGTCACTCAATTCACGACTCTTTGTGGGACGCTGCTGTGCGCAATTGGCTGCCGCGTTTCGCCCACGAAATAAATACAGTCAGTTGACTTTAGAGTATGGTTCTGTGAATCGCTTTGAGACGTCTCGAAGCCGTGAAAAGACGGGGTATCAAAGGCATGGACCATGGTAACCAGGTCGCCATCACCATAACTTTAATGGGTGAGAAAGAAACGTCTGCATGTCAGAGCCAGCTACACAGCGATCGGAGAGAAATGTACCTTCCATTGATGCTGGTAATCTGCTCTCCTCCTCCCGGCAGTACCACAGTCAGGTTCACGTCCGTATCCAATACATTCTCTTTGTGCTCCATGGCGATCTTTTCAGACTCGGGATCCTTAGCTACTGGTAAGGCTTCAGCATGTTTGGAAGACGTGGGTGGCGCCGGAGCTTTTGATTTGTTCTTTTTACTTCTGGGAAAATAAGATTCATTTTACATAAGACTCAGTCGTGGGAAACACAGTACTTTTATATCGAAAGAAAATCCATATTTCGCCCCCAAAATGATACACAGTCACTCCACTTTGCAGTATATTCTGCGAAGCGCTTTGAGATGTCTCGAAGACATGATAAGGTGCTATATCTAATGCAAAGATTATTATGATTATTATTATTATGATTATTATTATATTGGATGCATTCACTGTATTTTTCACCTCTACTTGAAAAAAATCCTCAAAAGCTTAGTTCTAAGTAAATTAATCTATCAGCTTTTAAACTTTGTTTCAACCCTAATAGCATCATCAAAAACATCAAGTATTTCTCAGATTGTACACAGTGTAGCACAAGTTAGTAGTAAAGTGTAACTGAGACGTCATTTCCTTAGTCCACACACGCCTCCGGTTTCCTAGTAATAAGTAGGAACCTGCTTGTTAGTCGATTGGCCGATCGCTTTCCGGGGATAATAATCCCTTCAAAAAAAAACTAATAATAATTTGGTCACTCAATTCAGCGGGGTTTAAGTTTTATTAACAAAGTGGCTTGGATAAGAGAAGAGAGATTGGCTGTCTTGAGAGAGAGAGAGAGAGAGAGAGTACCAATTGGTGTCTCCATATTAAAGTATCCCCAACATCTCGTTTACATTTGGAGTGATGTATAACAGATGTGTTGCTGCTGCAGAGAGAGAGAGAGAAAGGTGTTCGAGTTACAAGGGGAAGTAACACCTGATTTCAATCCTGCACGGGGCAGAAGGGAAGCTTTTATTACGTTCACAAGCACCTGTTTTCATTCGCTCACGTCAGATCTGAAACCGCTCGCTTTTGAAGTTGCAAGTGTGACCACGCCTTTGATCCGAGCCAAAACATGGTTCAGTTACAGCTTCACTGGCTCCTCTGCACCATCAGGGCATAAAAAGTGCAGCAAGTTGCACAACTTGTGCTAATACAACACACGCGTATGATGCGAAGGCGTTGAGTTTTCAACTTTATTTTGGCCTTTTTTTGTTTGTTATATTTTTTTAGAACAATAAAGGCTCAGTGAAATGTCGATACAATCTGTCATTCATCCAAATTCTACTTTTCTTCTTACCAAAAAAAAGGCTTTTGAGGATTTTTAAAAGTGATACAAAATGAGCAATAGCCAACTTGACTATTTATTAATAATAATAATCCTGGCATTTGATACAGCGCCTCATCACGTCTTCGAGACGTCTGAAAACGCTTCACAGAATCCTTGCATTTGATACAGCGCCTCATCACGTCTTCGAGACGTCTGAAAACGCTTCACAGAATCCTTGCATTTGCATTTGCATTTGATATAGCGCTTTTCACGTCAGGAGGACGTCCCAAAGCGCTTCACAGAATATACTGTAAAGTGGATCGAGTGTATATTTTGTGGCCGAAACGCGGCAGCCAATTGTGCACAGCAGCGTCCCCACAAACAGCCGTGGAGTTGAGTGACCAGATTATTATTTTTTTATTTAGTTATTTTTTGAAGGGATTATTATTACCCCCAGAAAAGCCATCCGCCAATCGACTACCAACCGGGTTCCTACTTACCTCTGGTAAACAAGAGGCTTTTGAAGCTTTAACCGTGGAGTGACTGCCTGCCTTGAAGGAAACCCTGTTTACATGATGGGTGTGTTTCCCCAGTAGTCCACACATCATTGTGTCACTAAAGTCATTTGTGAGACAATGCTGCATTTTTAAGTTGCCGTTCCTCAGCACAGGTGGTTGAATTACTACAAAGCTGCAACAACCTCAGTTGATTTGATTAGACGTTTCCTCCCCTTTGTGTGCATCGTCTGCCACTACAAGAAACTGCAGCCACTGAGATCATCCACCAACCAATCCAAACAGGTAACACGAAAGTACTGTATGATTGACCATCTGTTTGGAGATGAGAGATATTCCCAGTCCCACATGTAACACCTCTTTGTGTACTCAGCAGTAAGTAGGAACCTGGTTGTTAGTCGATTGGTGGATCGCTTTTCCAGGGTTAATAATCACTTCAAAATAGAATAATAATAATTTGGTCACTTCAATCCACGACTGTTTGTGGGACGCTGCTGTGCGCGCAATTGGCTGCTGCGTTTATCCCACAAAATATACAGTCAGTTCACTTTACGGTATATTCTGTGAAGCGCTTTGAGACGTCTCCAATACGTGATAAGGGGCTCTCGCAAACACAAGGATGATTATTATTATTAAATCCAACGTGAAGGCAAGCACAAGGGGAAAGAACGAAGGAACAAACTGTAAGAAAAGGCAGCAAGTGGCAGCCAAGTTTGTTTTAGAATCGGTTACACATTTACCAACATAAGACCATTCAGTTGTTAAACAATTGCTCTGGACACTTGCCAAATTTTTGCCATCATAAATCCGAACGCCACACAAGTGACGCAAAGAGAATTGCACGTTGCTAAGACGGAAACAATTGTAGCATTTATGCGGAAAGTACATCCCGTTGAAAGAGATGGTGCGTGACATTCGTTCCGAACAGTTTTATAATAATAATAATCCTCGCATTTGATACGGCGCCTAATCTCAGCTTCGAGACGTCTCAAAGCGCTTCGCAGGATACGCTGTAGAGTGAATTGACTCAATGTGGGTCTCTGGAAAATGAAACTACATCTTACCACATCAAGCTACATCTCTCCTTTGCTCCAAACTAAGCAAGGCATTTTTCACACCTCATCCCAAAATGTAAATACACAATCCAACTCATTTGGGTGCTGAAATATGATCTGAAACATGCAAATCCTGTTTCTCCCCCTTTAGACTAACGCACATCTCCCTTCTTTTACACACTGGAGTCCCGTAGCTCAGTGGTTAGAGCTCTCGCCTCACAAGCGAGAGGACCTGGGTTCGATTCTCGGGCCGGGCACGAAACGTTGGGCAAGTTTCCTTACTCCCCACGCACGCCTCTGTTTACCAGCAGTCGGTAGGAACCCGGTTGTTAGTCCATTGGTGGATCGCTTTTCCGGGGTAATAGTGAATTCAGTATATTTATAGTGTATCCTATGAAACACTTTGAAACGTCTCGAGGACGTGATGAGGCTCGATATCAATTGAAAAGATTATTATTATCAACATACACAACAGGACAGCAGATAAATGATTAGGAACGTAGACACAAGGAGACAGCACGTTCTCAAGGCTGCAGGTTTGCACAGTTGTTTGCAGTGGACAGATGGTAGGGTAATTATTGTGCAGCAGTTTAATCACTCAGTGCCTTTTATTTAAAGCTCACCAGCGTGCTGGACTAACTATACAGAGGGTGCATTTAAGTGTTACCTGATAGTACGGGTTTCGAAGATTGTGTATAAAATGTTCACGGACATTATAAGTTTTTGGCGCGTGTTCTTTAGTCCGCTCTATTTTAAAGTGCTCGAGAGAGAGAGTGCTCAGGTAAATTATTCCCATCAGAAATCACAATATCCACATAAAACCATAAATTCAGATAAATATTTATCTTTAGAAAAGGCACATCAAAGGGTGTATGATTTGTTTTTGAACAAGGCACAAACACACACACACACACACACACAGTGGGCAAATTAAAGTGCATTTTTGCATGATAAGGTAAGTTAAGTCGTTGACTGACCAGAAGGGAGGGTGGAGAGAAAGGAAATAATCAACAAAACAATTGCACAGTCAGCTCTTTAATTCCACAGTCAGGAATATTGTATTTACTACATTAATCTCAGCACAGCCTGGTATGTTTATAGCTAATACTTCACATCTAAACATCGTCATACTGGAATATGAACAAAGCAGACTGACCTTCTGACATTATGTTCACAAACACACAAGAAAAGGAGCTCTGAAATTCCACAAATACTTTCACATGAAAAACTCATTTTGTTTCTTGGTTTGCCGCCAATTGATGTACAATGTTCTGTGAAGTAACTGCACATACCGAGCGAGGTTTTGTTGGAAGAAAAAGTGAGCCTAGGAATTGCTTAATGCTACTTTTAAATATCTTTCCAGATCAAAGTCTGTACAGCTAAGTTTCACACAGCACATACGCTCAGTGTACACAGAAACAAACTATAATGCCGAATGGTATGTACAGTACTTTATAACAAAGCTTTCACTGAAACAACAAGTCCACGAGAAAACAAAAATGGGCCAATATCAAACATTACGCTTCACTGATACTCACAATGAATGTGCAGTTCTTACCCTGAAAGCCAACCATATAACTAGCAATATTAACTCTGGTGCTATTCAACTGAAAGAAAACTTAATTGTCTTATTCCAATTCAGACTATGTACTGTTAAGTACGGGCTACCACTTTATATTCATTCACATATTCCCAACACAAGAACACAGTAGATAATGTAGACCATGATAAGCTGTTTTATCTTGTACTGAACAGTAGAACCAGAGGACACGGTCTGCAACTGAAGGGGGTAAATTCAGAACAAATCTGCGGAAACACTACTTCAGGGAGCGAGTAGTAAACGTATGGAACAGGCTCCCCAGGGACACGGACGGTGGCAGCAGAAAGTGTTGATTGTTTCAAGAACAAATGAGATAGATTTCTGTTAGGAAATAATATCTGGAGAGACAGTTATAGTTTGGGACACGACATGTCAAGCGACTGCCAGGATGGTGGAAGGTGAACTGGATGGATCTTGGTTTTCCTTCGCCAGCAAATTCTTATGTTCTTACAAATTGCTGAATTTGAAGTTAAATACAGAAAGAGTAAATGCCATGTTACTTTCTAGTACATTGCATTGATAATTTAAACTGTGCATATAAGACCACTGAGTAATATTTGTCCATTTGTACTACAAACACAATTTTTGTCAACATTACAATGCATTTAAAGATGACATTATTAAATCTACTGTAATACGCACTTTATAAGTTTAACTAACAGAGCATGTGACAGATGAAACTTGGCTACAATTGAAGGCTGATCGAGAGAAGATATTCCGTGCTTCTCAACAGATTACTTACAACA